AAAGAGTGTTGTTGTGCAAAATCCTGGTACCTCCATGTTTGGCTCTGGGCTTTTGGGGCCTGTTCATAAACTTCAGTGGATAAAAGCTAAATCTCCTTATTGTATTTAAAATGAAGCTGTCTGAAGTTCATTAACAGATCATAATTCTAAGATAAAAGGTATTTGCACAAAACGTGCAACAAGTCTGGACAGGCTATGTCAGTTTAGCACAAATGCTGCATGTCAGTTCAAACATTGCATCCTTAATTGAACCTGAAGCTTTTACCAGTCAAACCTAAAGGAGAGTGAACGTTTTTAGGTCTAACTCGAAGCTGAAACCAGGATCTTGCAGCCTGTTTTAGCATTAAGCCTGTGGATTTGTGTTCAGTGTTACCTAAAGTACATATTTTGGGCATGTGTGATTTAAGTCTTAGCAAAATCAATACAGTTGGAGAGCACAGAAAACGTTGCGGAGCACAGGAAGCTTAACGAGCTGAGTAATGGTTGATCTTGAGGCAGAGATACAGAAAATGAGCTGGGCTCCTGTGTGACATCTTTGCTGTTCTCCCAGGCAGACAGTAATGGGATTGTGGAGCAATAAATACCTTACAGGAGGACAACTGGCGTCCATTTCCGCAGTGAAGATGGGGGCAGTGACAGCATCTGTGCGTGTGTTTGTAGTTAGTGAAAGTGAAAACGTATGCAGACACTATGGACTCTTTCCTGAAATAGTGTGCAGCAGTAAACACACATCTAAACTCCAGGCGAAGGTGCATATGGATGTGTCCAACAATGTGGAAGAGAGGCGGAATACATTATTAGTGGGAGGAATGCATTACGAGCAGCTGGAGCCGGGGCGGGTGTTGGTAGCGGCCAATCGAACCAGCTCCTCTCATCCCCTTCAGCAGCACCACAGAAATGTGACTCTGACTGATGTGACCAATGACAAGATGCAGGAAAAGCATCTGTTGTCTGATACAGACCGAATGAGACAACAGATGCTTTTCCTGCATCTTCTTCTTCTACCTAAATTGAGAACAATATTTATTGTAGAAGTACTGCATATAAATAAACTCAGTAATCTGATAATGTGACTGACCAGCTTTTGTGCACAGTCCTATAACCAGCAGCAACTACACAGGTTAGTCACAGCTGTATCCAGTGTGTGAAATATGGCAGATGTCAGGGGTTATCTGCATGTAACTTAAAACAATACAGTGAAGATGTTTGGCCTATGGATGCATGGATGAACATATGGAGTAGTTTGGGAGGCATGATGTTTGCTGAAAAACTAGCAAAGGAGACACTGACAAAGTAGACACAACATCATGAATATTCATTGTTTGAAAACAAAACTGGGGCATGATAAATGAGACAAAGTTGCCTGTCCAGCTCAATGGTTGGAAGCACTTTTGCAGAACTCCTGGAAATTGGAAAGTGCTAAAAGTTCTAAGAAACGTTTCTTCCTAACGTCATGACAGAAAAACATCGACATGATTGGTTGATGGATATCTCCTCTGTATCCCCTTCTGCTCCCTTGTTTGTTTTCTGCTTCCCCTCCAGGCTGCTCTGTCTCGATCTCCTGCAATCTGGCGTTCTTAGTCTCTCTCCCTCTCACTCAGTAACAAAGGCTTGGATCAGTTGAAGTGAAGACAGACAGGCTTAGTCAGCCCCTCTCCTCTCGCTATAATCAAACACTTTCCAAAGATTTGCTGCCATAGCACATTCTCTCCCTTCCCTCTGTTCCTCTTCGAATTGTTCAAGAACTAAAGGATCACTGGAACTCAATGGAGTGCAGAGTGGCTCCCCAAAGATAGTTTTACAAGGGCTGCACCAAAACTCAGCTCCAAAGAATGTACAAGACAAATGCTCAATGAAATATTAACTATATCAAGAGTAATGTTGCTTTGGCACAGACACATTTTATTTCACTTTAATGAAATGTTAAGACTAAATAGTGATCATAAGACAAAAAGCTGCATATAGTACACCTGTGTTTACGAAGCACACCAGTTGCAGTGGGTTAAGGCAGACTGGCCAGAGCTAACTGTATAAGAAGAGAATGATCTAATTGTTCCTGAACCCATCTTACCTATTATGTTCATGGATGATTAGTTTTGCCCATGTAAACCTGCCTCTGTTACAAAACCCAGAGCACCCTGTCCCATATTTTAGGGGCTTAAACATAATCATAAAACAGCCAACAACAAAAAACAGATTTCATGTTGTTTGGTAGTGGGCAGATTCTCCATGTTCACTGCTGTGCTAAGGTGTTTTTACCTTGTCCCTGATGCCCTGTCGGATGTTTTCTCTCTCCGCCTCCATTCTTGCATATTTGGCCTTCCTCTCCTCTTCCTGTTGCCTCAGTGCCTCTTGCCTTTCTTCCTCTTTTTTCTGAGCATCAGGATCCTTCTCCTCCTCCCCACCAAGCATTTTGCCCATGTCTTTGGTGGCCCCTGTCGTTGGTGTTGTGAAAGAGACAGAAGTAATAAATGAAAGAAATGTCAGAAGTCTTTTAGTGAGAGACACTGGCGATTCACAGTAATTGCACATAATAGATTTTAGCAATTGGACTGCTGCTAAGCACTTGATATGCACAGTGGTATATCTAAGATTTTGATACAATAGACATGACTATGTGTTCTAGTTTTCTTTCAGGCCAGTGAACGAGCAGCTCAATCACAAGTGACTGAGGCGAAGGCAAAAGTGTCAGACAATAGAAAGAACAAGAGGTGAGCGCCACGAACTAGAGCCTGAGATGAAAGACAGTGCATTAAATTATTAGTGATTGTCTTTGTGCAGCTCACACTGGCCTTTGCTATTTCCAACAGGAATTTACATCCTCATGCAAAGTGTCCAACTGGACCACGACTTAAGAGCTGAGAACAAAGGGTTCCAGGTGCTGCTGGAAGGAACATAATAAACAAAGTGGGGCTCACTTTGCTACTGGTCTCATCTCCTGTTTGTACTGAAAAATTATTTCTTATTACATCTTATATCTACAGTATTGTAGCTACTGTAGGACTGGATGTTGCAGCTGTGACTTGTTCATTCGATGAGTCTGTATTTTAAACACATCTGTTTTTATTTGATGCCTGCATATTATTAGTGAAGCCATGGATTCTGAGTTTTAGGGATCCTAAAACAGAGTCTAGAAAAACTCCAGAAATGTAATTTAATGAATTTATATTGTTGATACTTCCTGGGTTATTAGAAGACCAAGCAGGAGAGACAAAGTTGTCAGGTGTCAACTTCTTACTGCATCTTGATGTCCTCTTATATATATATTTCATATGTCGCATATGACCAGCTTGTTTTGTCCCAATCAGGTACATTAGAAACTAGATTTATATTGAATGATGCTGCAGTTTATGACCTGTGCCTGTCTGGGACTTTGAGAGTAAGGGTGTGATGGTTGTGTTGGTGGATGGGTGTCCATCTGAGTTCTGGTTTTGTAACAAACTGGGTGTTAATATTTTAATGTTAAGCCATAACCACAATCATTTCCTAACCTTATCCTAAATGTGCAGATGTTACAGAAGGAAAGAAGTTTTTAAACATTGGCATTCAACATTAAAAAACATGATCATTGTACAGTATCCAGCATATCTGAACACTCGGCAGTAAGAATGCTTTTCTGCAGCTGGTTACATGAAACCTTAAAAAACAAATGCTGCTATCACCATTGAAACAATAACAACTTGAAAGGCCACAGTTTAAATCAGAAGGTTGCACAGATTCAGCTGGAAACAAGCCAGTGCTCCAACAGTGTCCAGATGAACCCTGAACCCACTGCTTTGTTCACTTCTCACTCACATAAAGGAAATAGACTATAGTGAGAACTTGACCACCTGGACAACACAGGGAGCGTCTGAAGTACACCTGAATACACTGTTCTGAGTCCACCGCACTTCCTTTGACTATTAGCGCCTGTGTATGCGCCCTGAACTGTGCTCGGCTGGTGCACTAAGCCTTGCAAGCTCCTCAGAGGCAAACACTAGTAACACTCATAAGAATATCTTTGGATTTGTTCGGTCTCTCTGTGCTTTGCCACAGGCTAAAGCAGCCCTGAATGGGCCTGTACACTCTCTCTCTGACTTTGTTGGCAGTAGCGTGAGGAGATTCCCCAAATCCTGTACGAGCAGCAAGATGCTGAGTAGACCCATCACTTCAGGTGTCATAAATTCTTTGTTGGCCGAACTGAAAAGTGAAACTTATGAAACTAAAACTTTACAGGCTGCAGTTATGAATTTAAAAAGACACAACAGTCACAATAGTTTGTTTGGGCTGAGGCTCGACTAGTCATACATTCCTGTCATCATGACCTATTCCGACCTTGCCATTAGTGCTGCCACTGATACTGAAATCTTGGTTTCTGCTAGCACACTCTGTAAATTTGGTTACAAAATGGACATATTGTAACGTAGGGTTTTCGCCCTTTGAGTGACTCAAACTGTGTTAAATGTGTTGATTTGACACTCCATTTCAGTTATGCTCACAATAAAGTGAGATGCTCTAAGCAGAGGTTTTACAGTCTTTCTGCAAAGACAGACATGCTTCTAATCTCTAGTTCAATGCTGATGTGTTTTCTTTTTCACCTCTTTGAAATTGATGCATGCATTTTGTATATACATCATGTTGCAGAGACTCTCCCAAACCTCCACATGAATAATCTCAATGCTCAAGGCTAATTAGCTTGTCTGATTGTGATAAAGTTGCTGTGTAGCTGTCTGTGACAGTAATTGTTCCAACAGGCCTTGGTGTCATCAAATGCTGCCAGTTGTGGAGTCTGGGAGCGGTAAGCAAACCAAGGAAGCTCCCGAGGAGGAGCCCAGAGCCTTGTCTACAGTTGCAGAAACAGTGAAACACAGTTTCTAGTACTTAATTAAAAAGCACAATGAATAACTCATCCTTCACCTTAATTCTAGTTTTTTACACTTGTACAAGACAACTTGTTTGCATTAAATAAATGTTTGCCCTGGGCTCTGAAGAAATGCCTGCCACAAGACATAATTCACCCGAACCCAGCAAGCTCATATACAATGCACTACTCCCAGGTGTGATTGGTAATCTTTGTGATCAAATCAAATAAAATTTTATTTGTATAGCGCCAAATCGCAACAAAAGTCATCTCAGGACACACTCCAAGAGAACAGGCTGGATTTTGACTTCTCGAACAATGATCCAGACCTCACTGACTTTCTCTTGGGTCTTTCTCTGTGCCTGTTCCTTCTACATATCCTACATAATATCAAATACAGAAATCTCCTTAGGTGTGATTTTCTTACATGTAATATGGTAAATGGTTTTACACTTGTATAACACTTTTCTAGGCATTACAGCACACAGCAAGTACTTTCACACTATTTGGCCATTTACCCATTCACACTCACAAACACTCACACAGGTGTTATCACCGGGAGCAACTGGGGGGTTCAGTGTCTTGCTCAAGGACACGTCGACATGTTGACTGGACAAGCTGGGAATCAAACCGCTAATATTCCGGTTAGGAAACGACCCGCTCTACCTCCTGAGCCCTCATATGTCATTTTGCTAGATCAAATCAAAAATCAAATCAAATTTTATTTGTATAGCCCCAAATCACAACAAAAGTCATCTCAGGACACTTTAAAAAGTAAGGTCTTGACCTTACTGTTATCAATATTATTACATAGGGAAAACCCAACAAATCCCCCTTGAGCAGCACTTGGTGACAGTGGGGAGGAAAAACTCCCTTTAACGGAAGAAACCTCCGACAGACCCCGGCTCTTG